GGGGGGGGGATAACATGCCGTAAGCATTTATGGTTTCCCCGTTCACCCAAGCGTAATCATCCGAATCTGTTGCTATAGCCATAATTCGCTTCATTGAATTCAACCCCTTCCATTCCGCCATTGGTGGGTGAAATTCCACCAAAATAAACTTTTGTTTCGTTGGATAAATATATTTGACAATTAATATTATAATTGGTTTGTCATAGTCAGCTTAATAAGAAGCTTCGCCGCAGGCATCCAATTATTACGAGACCGTTCAGGATTCGAAAAGAAAATTCAAAAACGGATGAATTAATCGGTTAAAAGTAGTTGAAAGGTTGTATTTTATACGAAAATAAGTCAATCCAATGAATATTATCAAAGATTATCATGAAGGCCCTCGTAGGCATGCTCAACTGAAGAATTCGTCTATTAGTAGTGGTGACGTCTTAGTTCGTCCGTAACAGTCTCATCACCAAGTTCCCCTTAGTTATAACATGTTTCTGCTAATGAGATGACCATTACAACTCTCCTCATGCTCTCCAGATTGGAAACTCGTAAGATGCCTATGCGCAATACTCCTTAAACAGCAAGCTGGTGAGTGATGTTAACTCTTACCGAAGCACTTCTGCCGAAGAACATGCGTCTGACAGGGAACCGCATTCTTGCTTCTAGTGACTGCCTTCCACAGAAGCGACACTCCTCGCTCCAAGAATCATCAACTATTATACAATTATGCATTATATAACTGCACCAAGAGGCGCTCCAATATAAATTGGCTAATTACTTCATGTCAATGAGATTGGAAGTCCTCTCCAGGGCTGTTTTCATTGCTTGAAGAAGCATTCTAGCTTGGCACACTTGAAACTTTAACCGTGGACTATTCACATTCGCGGAATAGCAGTTGTTCGGGGGCTCTTAAGGAGCCCAGTAATTCCGCATTTGAAGTGTCTTTGTTCTTGCCAAAGGCATCTAATAGATAATTTTTTTCATATAACGAAAGTCGTGAGTCGTAATGCCAGACTTGAGCATCACTCCTTTCATTTCCAGCGAATAGAAGGACTTTGAAGTCTTAAACGATTACGTTAATGATGAATTCAGTGAGTTTTTCCTCGTGAATAACCGCCTCTTGACTTCGAACGAGGAAATTGAAACTCTAGGAAAGTTTGGTTAAAGTACTCCCCATTTCCCTAGACAATTGAGGATGTTTCAAGTGGTGGATGTACAGCAAAAGCCAAAACTCGCTCATTTCCGAATCTATATCGCTTGGTGTATGAATACCAAATACACATAAATTTGAAACCTCAATGACATGTTTGGTGAATCAAATATCCGGTTGAAGCGGCATCATCAATGCGATGGATATTTTAGGAAGGACAATATAAAAGCTGGGGCGATTGTAGGTATGATTTATGGAGTGGGAACGATTTGAAAACCGATCGTCATGAGTTCAGAAAGGTTAAATGGTTGGCGTTGAAAGATTAATAGGAAATTTACCCGTAGACACTTTTGTCGTACGACAATAGGATTCTCAGGGGCTGACTGATGCTCCGTTTCTTCACCTCGTGGGGAGGATCTACGTGTACTCCGTGAACCACCTGAAAGGATAAATATTTTTTTTAAAGCTCACATTTGTCGATAAAATTTGAGACATTTCATGAAGGTTACACGACATCCGACATCGACATTCAATGCCGGCATCCGGAATTGAATGCTGGGTGAAGACATTTAATGTCGGTATGCAGCATCTAATGTTGCCATCCGACATAGAATGTCGTCACCCAACATTTAATGATCATCCGACATCAAATGTAATACGACATCCGACATTGATTATCGTAAACCAGATTCCGACATTTAATGTTGTTCATCAACATTCAATGTCAAGTCATAACCCGGACATGAATTATCTTTATTACAAAATTTTACTTTTGTAATTTTTAACAAGACATCCGACACCAAAATTTAATGTCGGCATCCAGAATTGAATGTTGGGGGACGACATTCAGTGTCGGTACCCATGCAATATCATCATCCAACCTTGAATTACGTCATCCGACATCAAATCTCGTAACCCGACATCCGACATTAACTATCTTAATCCTGATTCCGACATTTAATGTCGTTCCCTAACATCAAATGTCATAACATCATAATCCGGATATGAATGATCTTTCCTGGAAAATCTTACTTTTGAAAATAAAAAATTGTAGGTGAATTATGAAGGCCTCGTTCGGGTTAGATACGAGTCAAACAAATGTCGCAAGGCTAAAGCATCTTCTATATTCTCCCGCCAAAATTGAATCATGACATTTATGTCAGCGAATCACTCAAGAATTCCATCATGCCTTCCCCCCCAAGACTGTTGACTCTGCTTCTCCGGCACGTTCTTCCCGCAAAGGAAACCGAAACTTGGTGCAGATACGTAAATACCAAAGGAAGGCATCCAAGTTTCGTACGCTGTCCCTTTGAACCCACTGTTACACAAGCATACTAAGTAAAGTGTTTATGGTGGTGTAATCTAGACTATGTACATTAGCAACGCATATGTTCCTGCCATGTGCTTGCCTAAGCGTAACGCATCGGTTTATGTATACAAGAGAAAGCGATTATCAAAGTACTCATCTGTCAGAATAGATAGCTTTAGGTCTAAGGCATACATGTTTGCATGCCTACGATGCAAATACAAGTTGTTGGATGTTCTCCAAATGTCGGTAATAAGCGCGAAAATCACTGGGATTAGACAACACCAAAAAACGAATCTCTGTTGTACGTGACGAATACTGACAATGACGATAATGTTTTGCTATGGAATTTTTTTTTATGCAAAATTGATGACAATCTGTCGAATGATCAGTGTTCGGAGTATAGAATTAATTTAGTCATTAATATTCAGCGCTCGATAACCATATGTTTGGACAACGAATTACATGAACCACTCGACCATGTCAAATATCATTATTCACAGGTTCCATAATATCTCATCAATCTCGTTGACAAAATTACTTTGAATTGATGGCAATAATGATACAATCTTCATTGTTGCGATACTCTTGTTTCGAATGAAATCTCGGTGGGTGGAATGGGATCTTATCGGGGATGGAGATTATTATTTTAGAAGAATTAACCATTGTTTCAATTTTATGATTCATTTGGTCTCCAGTCTCATATGAGAAACAAATTGACTACTTGAGGTGGTTATGACAATTTGGGTGCAGAGACGCCTCTGTAAGGTGGTGCAGTTGACAATAATATTCCATCCTATGTTGCCATTGCGTCACCCATTTCATGTCGTCATCCAACATTCAATGTCGGCTCCCGAAATTTAATGTTGCCACCCGACATTCAATGCCGTCACTCAACATTTAATGTCGTCATTCGACATTCAGTGCCGTCACCCGACATTTAATGTCGCCATTCAACATTCAACGCTATCACCCGACATTCAATATCGTCATTCAGCATTCCACATCCAACTCAACATAAAAAAAAAATCACTATTCATCAACTTCCAATGAAGGAAGCTACGAACATCCTGCCAATTCCGAATGATTAGAACCACCGAAAACATTTGAAGACCCTCACCAGCAATAGATAAATACCGCTGCCTCCAAAAAAAAGAAAACAAGAAACAAATCTAACGGAAGAAGCTGGTACAGCGAGGTAGCCGTGTCGGCAATAAATCTGTCAACAGTGTGAAATATGCATCCGGGGAAACGAGCAAGCCCCGGTGCAATCAGGGCGTAAGCCCGGAACAAATGTACCCCACCAGGCAAGTGTCGGTCGTTATCGGAAAATAGTTTCTGTGGCCTCCGAGTGCCGCGTGTTGCCATTCCCATTCCTCTCTAATCTTCGATATTATTTCAATCCACATATCTTAATTCTTGATTTCGGCAAGCACGGGTGCATCATCCCCCTTGGATCCCCACAATTCCGATGCTCATCACTGTCGTTTCAATTCCACTCACAATTTTATCACTCGATTGATTGAAAAGAAATACGTGGAGCACATACCAATCGAGGTGAACACAGCCACTGAGCAAAGTAATAAGACAGCTTAAGGAGCACTCGCTCTGATGAGCCGTATAATCACAAAGGGCGTCATTGAATTTAACAAGTGAAGATGTTGGCTCCAATACCAAACGGACTATATCGTTCTCGAAGATGAAAGAAAATGAGAAGCGAAATGGAATATTATGGTTATCATAAAGAATGGGTAACTCATCAAGACTAGGTATTATTTTAATATTAAAATAGAACTCTCTTTCAAAGGAAATTGTATTCGAATTCGAGACCTTTTGTTCGGTATACTCAATATGAAACACAATGCTACTATAATAATATTATGATGGCACTTTTTTCCATTTTTCTTTCATCAAACTCGAATTTGAAATGGCTCAAACAGTCAATAGGAGAAAATTCCTCATGATCATCTGTTTATGAAACCTCATTTTATGAATGATAAAACCCTCCACAATATTAATTTCAAACTGGCAACTTCATTATCCAAAGCCTGTTACATTTTACGTGTTCTCATATTCTTTTTGCACCGATTCCAACGGCCGGGGAATATTCCACTACACGAACAATAATTACTTTCTCTATTTTACTTCCCCTCCCTATTGACTTTTTCGTACTCCACTCCAGCGGAAATACAGTTGGAGTTCTGTATGATCTATTATTCGCAGATGTATCCTGTGAACACAGCGATGAATGGATTATTCCGGACGTCTTGAGATACAGTGATACAGGGGTATGTGCAGTCGGCCGACGTTAAAGAAGATGGTTGTTGGTTGTTTAGTAGTGGGAAGGAATCTCAAATAGTCAATAGATCAATTTTGTAATCCCCTTTCAACGCGGCCTCCGACATCCGACATCAACATTCAATGTTGGATAACGACATTTACTTTCGGCATCCAGCATTGAATGTTGGGTGACGACATTTAATTCAACATGCCTAATTCAATGTTGGGTGATGTTATTTAATGTCGGCATCCGACATTAAATTTTAGGTGACGACATTAAATGTCGGCATCCAGCATAAAATGTTGTGCCCGACATCCGACACCATAATTCGGCCATCTGACATCAAATGTCGCCATCCGACATTGAATGACGTCATCCAGCATTGAATGATGTCATCCAACATTCAATATCATACCCGAAATGAAATGAAGCAATCAATCAAAAATGTCGTAATCCAACATCCGACATTGAATGCCGTCATTCGACATGAAATTTCGCTATACTCCACTCCAGAAATGCATTCGCACCTCTGTATGATCTATTATTCGCAGATGTATACATGGTGCAGTGATAAACATGCTATTCCGAGCATCTTCATACACAGTGATACAAGGGTACATGTAGTCAGTCGACATTAAAGAAGATGGCTGTTGGTGGTTTACTAGCGAGAGGGAGTTCCCAAATACTCAATACGTATAAAGCCTTAGCGAGGGAGTGACTACAAAAGCATTTGCGGCTGGTTGTATGTACGTTGGGAGCTCCGATTGAAGCGTCCATGCGTATAAAACGAGAATACCACTAACCGGAACTGTTAGTCTATATCCCTATGGGCTGAATTAGCTTTGCATAACCAAATTGACCGCATCCAACAATACGACAACAATTTCTCGTAGGATGAATGGTCGGGCTTTCCGTGGATAAGGAGAGGAAAATATTGGGTATATTGGGGGTATTCATGCATTTCATTGGAAAACAATGGGTTGTGAGAGTGCTATTGGACGGTGAACCATTTTCAATGCTCTTGGGTAATGGATTAGACCGCTTGCGTGTTTATATAGCTTCTCTGATTGGCAGGGGTGATCAGCGGATGGTAAATGGTAACAAATATGAAACTGGAGGAGAGGGAGTTATAATTAAATCAGAGTGAATTGCGATCGTATTGTAATTATATGAGATTGATTAATCTTTTCCTCTCGAGACGAATATCCAGTGGCGGGGTTAGCTACGGCGCCACCTGGCGGTGGCGTCACTGTACCGCGCTCCTCATAACCTGCCAGATTGACGACTGATGATTAACGGAGAGTCGATATTGAAATCATTTGAGACAGAGGATTAATGAAAAATCATTCGTGTAAAGAAACTAATGAAAATAAATCAGTATCCATAGCGGATGTTAATTGCTCTTCAATGTTTCAATTTTCAAAAAAAATTCCATAATCTCCGGAGCTGGTGAAACAGCCATTCAGCAATAATAATAATGCAATGCACACAGATATTTCAATGACATTCGAGTAGCATTCAAAAATCATGCACGTCAACATAAATCGGATAGAATGCAATAATTTGCGTGGAATTCCATACTTGTAATTGTTATTTTCGAAGGGTCGACTGCTGTGAAATTATTGAACGGTAGAATTATTTCGTATTATTGTTGCAGTTCGAGTTAATCCTCAAATATTCAGATTTATGGGAAAAATTATTCAGTTCAAAATGTGACTAATGAATCACTCGAATTTTTTAATATGAAATAAATTCAGCGATGAGAGTAACTCGGGATATTAGCGTCAATATTTTCATTGCGTTATGCTCTGTTCATTGATCTCACCAGTTTTTGCTTGTATTATGGAACACT